CAGCTAAACGAACAATCATTCACAACTCTCTAATAATCAACATTCAACAAGTAATCATAATAGATCTATGTAGGAACTGCATCTACCAGAACCTCAACAAGCAATCCTATTAGGTCTAGGTAGGAACTGCATCTACCATAACCTTAACAACCCTACAAGTGGAACTGAATCACTTTCAACTATCGGTATAGGTAGGAACTGCATCTACCATAACCTTAACAACCCTACAAGTGGAACTGCATCACTTTCAACTATCTAAATAGGTAGGAACTACATATACCGTAACCCCAAACAATCCGATAAGTGGAACTACATCACTCTCGACATTCATGTCTAGGTAGGAACTTCATCTACCATAACATCAACAATCCGACAAGTGGAACTGCATCACTTTCGGCTCCTAATGCAATTGTGCTCTTAACACTCTACGCTCCGATTGGTAACACAATAAAAACTGCGGAATTGCGGAAAAAATTAAGTTGCGGAATGGTGGAATGCAGAATAGTGGAATAATTAATTTTTATATGATTGGATAAATTATGCAGAATGGCGGAATGGTGGAATGACAGAAAATATATAAAATTAATTTTTCATAATAATATATTTTATATATAATTTAATTTAATAAAAATAAAAATATTAATTATTATAAAAACATAATTTTAATATAATTAGAAAAAATTAAAATTTTTATTGTAATTATTTATTTTTATTTTTATTTATTTTTACTATAAAATATATAACTATATTGCAATATTTAATCTACAGATATAATCTGATCATTATATAAATATATGTAGTATAAATATATTTATTTATATTTATTTATATTTATTTAAATAATAAAATATAATTAGTTATATAATTGAATGATATAAAATATTGATTCTGCAAATAAGTTACTTGAAACACACTTTTCCACTTAATCAAATTTTCTTTGTATTTTTTGTAAGTATTTCCGCCATTCCGCAGAACTCGAGTTTTGGCGTTTTTCCGCAAGTTTTTCTGATTGGCAAAATTCTTGCGGAATTGAGTTTTTCCACCATTCCACCATTCCACAAAGTTTACCAATCACAGCCATATATGCAATACAACCCACAATTCTCACAAGCAATCAAACACGAAACAACAATCAACAATATTAACTGTGGTCCTAGATCTATGTTTAGAAACAAGTAAAAGTAAATCAACCACACAACAATCAATTACAAGTTACGCCATAAGCGCAACCTGCAGGAGAAGGAAATCCGTTTATCCTTAACCAGGGACAAGCGATGAAGATAACATGGAAGAGAAGGCATGAATACATCCTCAACTTTCACGGATCGAACAAACAGCTAAAACAAAGGGGTTAAGGTTTAGGGATCTAATGACAAGGAGCAGAAAACGCAAGAAGACAACAAGACGACGCAAACGAACAGTGACGGCGGCTCCTCTCTCCCTCGGCGGCGGGCGGCGATGGCTGAAGGCTAGGGTTTAGAGTTTCTATCTCTGGGTGCTCTGGGAATTGTGATGACAATATTAACTCTCTAACTCTCTTTATATAGAGGAGGGGGGAACTCTAGGGTTAGGGTTTTTTTATAATCTAATGGGCTTAACGGGCTTTTGGGCTTCAAACATTAAAGAAAAAAAATGACAGACCGGTTTAGCGAAACCGGGATGTTACATCGAATGCAGTTTATTGTGAGATCAAAAAAGAAGCTTCATGCATACATTACACAATGTGAAAATAAACCTCTAAGTGGTGCTTCAAATAATGATATTGTAAGTTTTAATATATAATTTCTAAATTTATTTATCTTTTTATTTGTTTAAATAATAATATTTTTTCAATGGTTTGCAGTTTAACAAAACCAAAATAATGCTAGCATAAGATCCAAAATTTAAAAGTGGTTGGAAATTCGATCATTTTGAGATATTTTAAAGGATTCTGAAAATTTTCAAGATGGTGGTACTTCTACACAAACGGAAAATTCCAAAAGCATCTCCAAATTTATTTTTATTTTCTCCAAATATAAATGATGATGAGGTTGGTGAATCTCCTTCTCAACGGCCAAATGGAATAAAAAAATCCAAAAATAAAAAGAAAAATTGATGATAGAACATCAGCTGTTATCAACACTATAGAAGAGGGTAATAAGCTACTTTTGGAGCAATCAAAGAAGATAAGTGCACAAGGACAACACCATTTAGAGATTCAGAGTAAGAACTATGCCTTAAAAGAATTTAAGGAAGAAATTTTTTTTTGTTCCCAAACTTGAATTCGATAGAAGATCCGAGTCTTCGTGTATATGTTCAAACTGAACAAGCACGAATTTTACAAAAAAGGGCCGAACAACAACAACATCAACAATATCCGCCTCAATTTGCTTCATTTGGAAAACTTTTTGGTGATCTCAGTGGACTCGGAAGTGATTTATTGGAGTATTCACTCATTAATCGTTGTTGTACTAAAAGTATTCTATGTTATTTTTAAGTTGAGTACTTTTTTAAATAATTTTAATTTTATTATGGTTGATGTCATTATATTTTCTATTAAAAAGATTTGATTTTTCGTTTTAATTTTAGTGTTTTAACTAAGTAGTTGGCCTGCACATATGTGCGGGTATAAAAGTTTTATAAAAAATTAATTATTAATAATATGTATCATTAATAATAAATAAGTGATTGGCCTGTTTAATAATATATTTGTAAGAAAATTTTGTTTGTGAAATTTAATAGATTTGAGAAATTGTATATAATAAAAAATAAAACATACACAAAACTTAAAATATTTTTAAAAAACTGTAAAATAAAATAAAATGATTCTTCGTCATTCTTTGTTTTCTACTTTTTATTTATATTTTTCATCTTTCTAAAGTTTGTTATCTCATTTCGTCACTTTATGTCCTATTTCTGATCGTAATTCTCAAGATATAATGAAATACATTCACATATAATATAAATTTTTGATCTTTATTTATAGTGAGACAAAATAAGAAGATAATAAAAATGAAGAAATTCCCCTTCTAAAAATCTGGCGCCGCAAAATTTCACGCAAACAATTGAACTTGTAAATATTTTGCTAAAAATTACTTAAAATAAGATTCTAAGAAATTTCCATCAATAAACCGATTTCACAAATTTTATGCTACAAACATGAATAAGTAATTTTTGCACCAAAAGAATTACATCAAAAAGATAATCCAAAAACATTTTATCAAAATTTTGATTTTGTGAATTTTCTGTCAAAAAGTGAATCTATAAAAAAAATGCGCCAAAAACTTTTCATTAAAAATGTGATTCTAAAAACTACCAGTCAAAATTTTGATTTCATGAATTTCTTGCTATGTATGTGAAATCGTAAATTTTCCGTCAAAAAAACTTATTAAAAAATATATTTTCAAAAAATTTCTGTGAAAACCCGTGTTCAGAAATTTTCCGTCAAAAACATGAATTTGTAACTTTCCCACCTAAGCATTTAATTTAGAGTATTTTAATTTGATTTCGTGAGTTTTTGCCAAATATTATGAATCCATAAATCTTTTTGTCAAAAATGTGATATCAAAAAATTTCTGCCTAAAAATGTTGTCACAAATTTTCTGCTAAATACCTGAAATCTGTAAATTTTTCTGGTAAACTTTTTGTGTCCAAATGTAATTTCAAATCTATTTAACAAAAATATATTTTTTGTCAAAATTTTGAATACTTTAATTTTGTATCAAAATTTTTAAAATCAAATTTTATTTATAGATTAAATTGTAATACCATATCTCAATCTATGTGTACTAAAAACTGACATGTCACAATTACATCATCATTTCCATGTCACATTTAAATTGTTCAAACTAAACATATTAAGCAATCAAATTAAAACAAATCAATATTTTTCATTAAACTACATTCTCAATTAATAGGTAGAGGATTTTGTATCAAAATTTTAACATCAAATTTTATTTATAGAATAAATAATGTCATGTCACAAGCCATGTGTACTAAAAACTGTCATGTCACAGTTACATCATCATTACACATCATCATTTCTATGTCACATTAAAATTGCTCAAACTAAACATAAATAATTAAATAATGTCATGTCACAAGTCATGTGTACTAAAAACTGACATGTTACAATTACATCATCATTACGTATCATCATTTCCATATAACATTAAAATTGCTCTAACTAAACATATTAACCAATCAAATTAAAACAAATCAGCATTTTTTTATTAAATTATATTCTCAACTAATAGGTAAAGGATAGTTATAATTAATCAATAAAAAGAAATTATCAATATAATAATAATATATTAGTTTTAAAATACAACTATCTAATATTTGAAAGAGCAATTTATAAAAAAAAAAAAAAAAATCAATTCTATGATTCTAAATTTAGAACAAAAAATAATATTATTCTATTATAGAATTAAAAATAGAATAGGATTAGAGAAACATTTATATTAAAATAGAATATAAAATCAGGTTTAGAGTGAAATTGGAAATGCTCTTAGAGAACATTCGATGGTGAAGGTGTGATGCTGGATATGAGTGATTGTGGTATGTGCCTTGATGATCATGCTCTAATGAGATTCGTAATTAATTTACCACATCAACCTAATCGATATTTTATTATTGTTTTTCAACAGCATACAATATGCAAATTTGAACCCGGGTGGCGACAACACTATCACAAACCACTATGTCCTTATGAAATATGTTGTTATTTAAAAATAAATTCACGAAATGCTGTTGTAGTATTTTGAATAAACTCTTCAGCTAAAAACAACGAAAAAAAGTTTATCCATTTGAAAAAAACAATAATACTTAAATCGCTCATAATCTACATGTATGAGTGATTATGATGCTGCCACATTTGCTATAATCACTCATAATCTTCTAAACCAATTAAGATTTACTGTATACAACTTTTCAATCCATCTAGCTTTCATAGAATTGGTTGTCACAGTTTATGCTTCTATCTCTCTTTAATACATATTACCTTTCGTATTAAAAATCTCTTTTGGTTGTTTAAGCACTTAAGTTTAAATTTGGTTGCAAAAACCTTGAGCAGCTAGTAGAAAATTTAAAGTCTGGCTACACAATTGGGTGACTTACCCGAAGATGCTAACAAAAAGTATAGGCTACAATGTAGTCATATTGAGCATACAAAGTATAAACATTTAAGTTTGTTATTGAAAACTTGAAATTGTAATTGGCTTAAACTGGTGGCTGATATGAGAAGCCATTCACAGTGAGACCACCATCGACACAAATGGTCTGACCCGTTATGTAAGAAGCTGCAGGCATACAAAGAAATGCCACAAGCGATGCTACCTCCTCCGGCTTACCTAAGCGCCCCAATGGCGTTCTTGATTTCACCATTCTATTGAATTCATCATCGAACGCCTAGAGATAATCATCACATGCATATAAAATCAATAAATCATCGAAATAAAGAGAGATCTTTGAGGAATATACAGAAAATCAAGAGATCTCACTGTTTCCGCCAGAGGAGTGGGAATGAGTGCAGGAGCCACAGAATTAGCCCTTATGCCATCGCTCGCCCACTCGCATGCCAAATTCCTTGCTAGCTGATTCATCGCCCCTATTTATTAATGTATACACACACTAACATGCGTTAAGGCCTGATTATTTGTTTATGTTTATGTTTAAATTTATATTTTAGTGTATATGGTATTGTTGGTATATAGCTTGGACTTAGCATGTTTAGTTATTCCTCTCTATCTACCTAATTGCGTCTATCTTTTACTTCTTGTAGAGATTAGGAAACCCAAAAATATCAGATAATTCGTTGTACAAATTAAGCCAGATAATAGACTTGAATTTTTCTATTTATGACTCCTTACGGTTTAACACCCAATCAACTATGAGAAACCAATAAAATAGACCCATACCTATTATTTTCTTATATAGGGAAAAAATGTAACATTAATTTATATAGTTTGTGTTGTAATAGTGGGTTCTTGCGAGATCTACTCTCACCGAGACGTGAGCTAGCTAGCTATTAGATCAAGAGCTTAACTCGTAAAACTCGTGGGTTTTCTTTCTTCTTAATTATTGTTTGTACAAATGAGAGATCAAATAAAAGTTGTGTGACTGATTGGTGAACCACTTTGTAAAAACATATTCTACGTAAACATAAACGCAACAAAACATTCATTTGAACTGAAACTATCTAGGACATCTTCTTCTGCTAGTGTCACAAGCACATAGAGGAGGACATTTGGAAGTTGCAAATCACGGTTTTTTCCTATATGCTTTCAAATGAGGTTTTTCTTATAGCACTCAGCCATTGACCTTTTTAAAAAAATACTAAAATTAAAACCTAACGTTATTTTTTTTCACAAAAATAATATTGATTATATTGATTGAGATAATATAGTCATTACGCAACGAAGGAGTTTAACCAGTTGTTACATGTACAGATTAGCTTGAATAGAAACAATTGTACTAAAAACGTAACTTTTTTTTTTGGGCAAGTTACTAAAACGTAACTATATATTCGATTTATACTAAATTTATTTAAATAAGAGACATATATCTATTAATTCAGAATCATATTTATCATGTTCCACACTGTAAAAATAAGTTTAGACTAAATTATTTTTAATGAGATCATAAGATTTTTATTATTTTTCAAATGCATTTTTTTTTGTAAACACATGACACAATACTATTTCTGAGAATAAATCCTAATTAATAGCAGATATGATAAGCCAAAGCGTATGGTTACAACAGCATGATGTTTATCTTGTTTACTATAATGCTTTACTATGAGTTGTAGTGTTGTACCAATAAGATTCATAGAGAGGTAGTTTTGGTTTCTTCTTGAGTGCTATATTAGTATGTACCTTTGGTTGCAGAGTAGATGGAGCTGATACTAAGTGACACGACCCCAGCAATAGAGGATATGAAGACGATGTTCCCACATCCTGAAGCCTTGAGCAGAGGATGTGCAAGCTGGCTAAAATGGTATGCAGACTCCAAGTTGGTCGATATGTGGAACGAGAAATCCTCTGCCGTATGTTCAGTTGTTGGCTTTGACCGGATTGCACCAATATTGTTTATCTAATATCAAGATTCAAGAATATTTTGATCTCAGAAACAATAACAAAAAAAAAGATTCAAGAATATACAGCCATGTCAGCCAATAGTGTTATCAAGATTGTATGATAGAGGATGGAGATTAAATACGAGCATCAAACAACGAGGACACAGTTTGCATAAGTTTCTCTCTCTCGGTCCAGGACGATGCGTCACAGACTGAACCAGTGACTTGAAATCCTTTCTTTTTCAATTCACTTAAACAATCGTTGAGCTGAGATTCGTCTCGAGCACACGTATGTATTATAGCCCCAAATCCTGCAAGTTCTTCCACTATAGCATGCCTAGGAGTTTCAAGATTCAACAACATACAGTCACTACTCACTAGTGCTATCAAGATCTATGGAGAGAGATCAAAGAGCTTACGAACCCAATCCCTTTGGTTCCACCGGTGACAAGTGCGGTCTTGCCTTGAAGGCTCCACCTGCGTTTTTGCCCTTCTCCACCCATTTTCCTCAAGATTGAAGTGGATAGTTTCTGTTTTTTGTTTTTTTGCAACTATTTGTGAGAATAATTGTGATGGTTGACTAAAAATTAAAATTTGGGCCGGATCAAAGTCGTCCGTTAGTTATATGTCTCAATCAAAGCCTTAATACGAAGGCCTCAAACATCTAATGTTTTGAACGTGGGACATTGAGCCAAGAACGTAACTTGGACCCGCTTGTTCTTGTCCGTGACTTTAAGAAGGCAAACTAATCAATGAAATGTCTAGGGAATAACATGAGTAGATGAACATAAAATCGTCCTCGTTTTTAACTAAAGTTAAGTAAACTAATCAATGAAATGCGTAGGGAATAACATGATGAATGAACTTAATCTTCTTTATTTTTCTTTAATTTTTTCTTTATTTTTTTCACAAAATATATAGAAATGTATGAGTAACTAATTAAAATTGAATAGAAACAAAAAGTCTGACCAATAAAATTAAGTTTAAACTAAATAAGTAAATAAACTTATTTTTTTATTTATTTCCCAAAAGATAAAGAAAATTATGGAAGGAATTAAAATAACATTGAATTCAAACAAAATATTAAGTTTAAAATAAATAAATAAACAATTTTTGAAATCTTAAAGAGTCATCATTTACACAATCTTATATATATGAAAAGTATTTAGTTGACTCATCCCCTACGTTGTGATAACAGCAGAATCTTAACCTGATTTGTTTTTTTTTTTTTAACCTTTTATCTTCCCGAAAATTATAATACACCTTTATATATGAAAATTAACCTTTTATATATGGAGTATTAAAGGATACAAAAACTCTGACCAAATTGAGTTTTACAGTAAATAAGAAAACGTTTGAGCTTTTTTGTCTTCCTTTATATATGAAGTAAAACCAGTTCAGAAGTCTCATCCCCTATTCCCCTGCCTTTCACAATTCGAGCTTTTCTAGCGTCTTGGCTTTGCTCCCCTTTTTTTATATTTTGTCTCATCATCTCTGTTTTCTTTGTGTTTGTGTCGACTAAAACACAATCTTCGGTTTTACAAGACATGGAAAAGCTTAGTTCTGAATCTCCTGATGATCTGCTGTTGAAGATACTATCGTTTCTTCCAACAAAAGTTGCTGTAAGCACAAGCGTTTTGTCGAAGCGATGGGAGTTTCTTTGGATGGATTTGTCTGTACTTGAGTATGATGACAGTATTCTCCCTAAGGATAGAAACGATCGACTGTGGAAATGCAACATGATGCGACCTTTTATCGGTAGGAATATGTCATTACATAGAGCTCCGGTCATAGAGAGCTTCCGTATCAATTTCAACACTGCACCATTTGAGCCTGAAGATATCAAATTTTGGGTTGCAAATGCAGTTTTTTGCTGTGTGCGCGAGCTAAGTATTAATTATTCTTTAAATTCCATTGACAGGCCTATAGCATATCTTCCTAGTAGCTTGTATGTTTGCGAATCTCTCGTGTCATTGAAACTGGAGGGTAGGATTCTCGTGGATGTTCCTCGTGTTGCTTATATTCCTTCATTGAAAATTCTTTCCCTTCGACGTGTGACATACAAAGTTGAATCAATTCTTGAACGGCTTGTATACTATTGTCCTGTTCTTGAGGATCTAGTTGTGGAAGAAAGTGGAGATCTGGAAGCATTGGTGGTAATCTCTCCGTCCTTGCAGAGATTAACCCTAGAGATAGATATTGAATGTTATTCATATGGGATTGTGATAAACACTCCTTCCTTGGAATATTTCAAAGTTACGGATAATTGGAATAGTGATGGTGAAGCTTATATTCCCTCCTATTTTATTGGAATTGAAGATATGCATAAGCTGGAGGAGGCATATATGGATTCTAAATTCTTCAGTATCGGTGACTTTCTCAATAAGTTAACCACACCAGTCACATATGTTAAGAGGCTTTCATTATGCTTGCTATCTTTCTGCAACGAGATAATTATGTGTCTTCTATCATTTTCAATCTAATACACTAAACCGGATTTTCTTGAAGTTGAATCCTTTGCTATTACATTTTCATTGCCTGCAGGATATAATTGGTGAAGGTATTGCCTTCAACCAGCTTGAACATTTGAAGCTATGTTCATGTCAAACAGACTTGTCAGATTTACTTATCCGTTTGCTTGAAGAATCTCCTAATTTACTTGAACTTGAGATCTACCGTCGTTATGTAGGTTTTCTTATATAGTGACTGTTATTTTGGTCTAATAATGCCAATGTAAGTGTATGTGATTTAATACAATTTGATGTCAGGAACATGATCCTAGTGAAGAACCATCGGTTTGTTGGGAGAATTCTGATCCTCAATGTTTCTTGCGGAGTCTCCAAACTTTTAAGTGGACGAGCTTCGGTGGATCGAAGAACGAGATTGAGCTAGTGAAATATATCTTGAGGAATGCTTGTTGCTTAAAGACTGCAACAATCTTGGGTCTCTCATCTCATGATCCAAAGAAAAAACTTGAGGTTATGGAGGAGTTGTCACTTTCTTCCAGAGGTTCAACATCATGCCAACTTGAATTTTTTTGCAAGGTCCTAAACTATTATCATTAGATGTAATAAGATTGGTATTGTCATTTATATCCGTCTATTTTCAAATAAATTTTATGTTTTTCAAATTTCTAATAAGATATGATAATTTTACCTGTAATTTGTGTGAGCACCAAAAAACTTGTAATTAAGTTTAAAAATCCCAACAAGAAGATCAAGAAAAACATTGAGACTGGAATGTTTAATTATACCTACAAAATGTAACGATCGATCCACACACTTCATCAGCAGCTGAGATATCAACAGATGGGCCAACTTGAACTTGGAACTCCCACTGTCTCAACAAGGGAAAACAAAATTTGGCCATTACTACTTTAAGCCAAAAAGATTGAAACTGTTTGGTCATACCTCATAAGTAATGGTTTGTGAAGATGAAACAGAGGTTCATTAGGCAAAGGAAAGGCTTCCAAGCTGGAGAAGCTAGTAGCAAAATTCAGTTTTTGGGTTTCACTAAATCATCAAGATCGTGATGAAGAAATCAAAAGCCATTGTCTAAAATGTGTTGCATACTTGCAGTGTTCTACGAGAATGGTTCTGACAACGGGTCGCAAAACTGATAACCTTCAGTTCTTCACTCAATCTCCAAATCACCCCCTGCATGATTAAAAGGAATTGATTTTAAGAGAAGATAGAGTTTGTGTGTGATGAATTCACAAGGGAATCATCAAGATTATAGTGGGTTTCTGATGGACTTTACTGCTAAAATTCTCAATTGTTAAAAGGCAGATGCGTTTTGGTGGTTAAACGTTGTTTAGAGTATGGCTGTTATGGCATCTGATATGTTATCATTATTTTTCAACAGCATACACTATCACAAACAACAAACAAGGTAGTTTTAAAAAATTATTAAAAATATTTATGTTTCTTATTTAAGAGTGTTTTCTTATTTATAATTAATATCATAAGTTATTATTATAAAAACAATTATACAAATATAAAAATAAAAATTATTTGATATTTTGAACCTAAAAAAGTTAGACGAAAAATGTATACAATATTATAATAAACTTTAAAACAATTTCTTTATAGACTAATAAATATTTGATAATTTATTTAATTCAAACTTTATCCATTAATAATTTTTAAATTAATCAGATATCAAAGTCCTAATATATTTATTTATAAATTTTTAATGCAATTATAAATCAATTATTTAAGCTTATAAAAATATAAAGCGACGGTGTTGTTATTGTGTAAATATGCGCCATGAACAAATATTATCTGTTAAAAAGAGTCGTCTCTACCTAAGTTGTGCTTGAATAGTTTCTCTAATTAATTATTTTTATATAGTACTTCTTTGATTTGCAGTATATCCATTTAATATATTTTATATATACAATGTATAACATATATCACATTTTCTTATCAATAAACCATTTATCACATATATAGTTAATATTCACATTATATGTAATTATTTATTTTATGTTTATTCAAATACACAACATCCTTAAGAAAAATTTAAATATACGATAAAATAAATTGTAACTACACTTATTACCAAATTATATTATGAAAAAGATCTGCACATCGCACGGGTACTCATCTAGTTGATATAATTTTTTTATATGGTACCAGAACGTTAAGCATTTTAGAAAAATTCACTTGCTTATTGAAGTTCCACATATTAAATCATTTTTTAAATAATCATTCTTCTTTGTTGAACAATTTTACATTTATGTCTCATAATTAATTAACATTAGTTTTATTGTTTTGTGATTTTTTTGTTAAAATATAATGTCTATATATAATGCAAACTATATATAACACTCCCTCTATTTTCTTTATTTGATGTTGTAAGAATCTTTTTTGTTGTAAAACAGATGATGTTTTCAGAAATCTATCCAAAAATTGATGTCAATTGACTTTCTTACCTTGGTAGTAATTAATAAATTAAAATTTTAACAATAATAATAAAAGTTATAATATGAATTATATAAGTTTTATTAATTTGTGTGCACAAACCTGAAAGATAGAAAACAGAGGGAAGATTAAATTGTTTCTAATCATTTTGAGTTAATTTTACCACTAAATTAAATTTTAATAATTAACCGAAGCATATAGTTAACTAGAGCTTAGAGTGGGAAAATATATATATCATATATAAAATATTCGAATCCGAATAATAATAATTTTTTGGTTCGACAGATCTGGATATGATACCCTAAAATTTCACAATATCCGATTCCAAGAGTTGTTTACTACTATGTTTCGGTTACGGCATAAACAATAAGCTCTTGGGATGGCTATATCAGTATGTACCTTTTGTGGCACAGTAGATGGAGCTGATGCTAAGCGACACGACCCCAGCAACAGAGGATATGAACACGATGTTCCCACATCCTGAAGCCTTGAGCAGAGGATGTGCAAGCTGGCTAAAATGGTACGCAGACTCCAAGTTGGTCGATATGTGGAAGGAGAAATCCTCTGCCGTATGTTCTAGTGTTGGCTTTGACCGGATTGCGCCAACATTGTTTATCTAATATCAAAATTCAAGAATATTTGATTCTCAGAAACAGTAACTAAAAAATTCAAGAAAATACAAGGGAGACATGACCATGTCAGTCAGCCTATAGTGTTTTCTTTTAAGTAATGCACAACACACAAGACAAATTAAATAATATAGGATGGATATTTTTTTGTGTGTGTGCTAAATTGTAAATATCATTACAAATGAAAAGTTTAGGATGGAGATTAGTTACGAGGATACTAAGCTTCGTATCAAACAAAAAGGACACAGTTTGCATCAGCTTCTCTCTCTCGGTCCATGACGATGCATCACAGACTGAACCCGTTGTAGGAAACAACAAACTTTGTGTAGAGAGAAAAACAGTTTAATAAATCTTTATTGTCATATATTTTTTTCACTCCTTGAGAATTACAAGGATTCAATATTTATACAAGAAGTTAGAAAACCCTAGAGACTCAACGCTGAAGCTCAAATCATTCTCTATCACACAATCTTAGGGTTTCAAATCTATTGCTGATTCCCACGGTCACAGCTGGTTTGTACGGAGAAGACTTGTGTCTTGTGCTTGATGTTGACGTTGCAGAAGGAGCCGTTACAGAAGCAGAGACCGTGTTGGGCTTCGGGTGTTTGTAAGGGCCCAACACTGATTTTGCAGTTTCACTGGGCTCAGGCCCAATAGCCTTGACACTCCCCCTCAAACTTAGTGGCGGTTGATCGACACCAAGTTTGAAACGAAGAACAGAGAATTGAGGAAATGCCAGCGGTTTTGTGAAGATATCCGCGAGTTGATGAGCAGTGGAGATGTGATGAACAACAAAAGAGCCCCGAGCAACCTGTTCCCGAACACAGTGCCAATCGACTTCAAAGTGTTTTGTTCGCTTGTGCATTGCAGGCGTGGCGGATAAGTAAACTGCAGAGAGGTTATCACAATAGAGTTCCGGTGGAGAGAGCTGCGAGAAACCAATATTGCGCAGAAGATGGCCCAACCAGGTGAGCTCTGAAGCAGTTTCAGAGAGAGTGCGGTATTCAGCTTCAGTGGAGCTTCGAGAAACCGTAGCTTGTCGTTTAGCAGACCAAGAAATAAGATTGGAGCCAAAGAAGGTACAAAATCCCCCTGTGGAACGACGAGTCTCCTTGCAGCCTGCCCAATCACTGTCACTATAGGCGCAAACAGTGAAGTCAGTATCAGCGGTCAAGTTAAGACCAAAGTCAGTCGTTCCTCGAAGATACCGCAGAATGCGCTTGAGAAGATTGAAATCAGCAAGGGTCGGAGAATGCATCTTCTGGCAGATGTAGTTGACAGAGAATTGGATATCCGTTCTCGTTAGGGTAAGATACTGCAGTTTACCGGCTAAACTCCGAAAGTATGAGGGCTCCGGAAAAGCTTCATCTTGATGAGGTACTCGATCAAGCTGAGATGGCAGAGGCGTGGAGATAGGAGTACAAGTCGACATACCTGCAATCTGCAACAGGTCCTCCGTGTATTTAACTTGATTTAAGAACAGGCCCTGATCGTGAAAGTGAGCCTGAATGCCGAGAAAGTAATGAAGGCGTCCAAGATCCTTCATCTTGAACTGATCACTTAAGACGACGAGGAGCTTGGCGATGAGAGTGTTGTTGTTTCCAGTCAACAACATGTCATCAACATAAAGGAGAAGAATGAGAATGTCGCCATTCTTCAAGTAAACGAATAGAGAAGGATCAGAGGTACTGCAGGTGAACCCAAAGTCCATAAGATACATGCTGAATTTGTCAAACCACGCCCGTGGTGCTTGTTTTAAGCCATAGATGGCTTTGTGCAACTGGCACACGAATCCTGGCTTCGTTTGATCAATATAACCCAGAGGTTGATGCATATAAACCGTTTCAGTGAGATCCCCGTGAAGAAACGCACTCTGAACATCAAGTTGTTTCACTTCCCAGTTGAGAACCACTGCAGTGTGAAGAATAGAGCGGACAGTCGGAGTTTTGACAACAGGGCTGTAGGTGTCGAGATAATCAATCCCCTCTTCCTGCTCAAAGCCTTTTGCAACCAAACGAGCTTTGAGTTTATCAAGCGACCCATCAGCGTGTAACTTCGTTCGAAAGACCCACTTACAGCCAAGAATGTTCATATCAGGATGATACGGAACCAATGAGAAGGTATGAGTTGCAGCTAAATTATCGATTTCCTCTTTTGTTGCTGCATTCCAGCCTGGATGTTTTAAAGCTGCAGTGATGGTTTTTGGCTCAGATGGCGTGGAAGAGATTGAGAGGAGAGCATAGCGAGGGTTTGGCTTGGAGATCCCAGCCTTGAGACGAGTGAGCATAGGAGCAGAGCGAGGTATATGATTATCAGTCTGTTCTGCAGGTTGAGATGAGAGGTGGGACAGAGGTGGAAAATCTGAATCCGTAAAAGGAGATTCATCACGTGGTGTAGTGGAGATTGGTGCTGTAGAAGAAGGGACTCCTGCAGGTGCAGAGGTTGATCAAAGAAAGCTTTCCTGCCACGCCGAGAGCAGAGGTGTACTCGCTTAGGGATGCAGGTAAGCATAAGACGTTTCAAACGGGAATGCAGTTTCATCAAACAGAACATGTCGGCTGATGAAGACTCGTCCCGTGGGAGGATAAAGGCACCTGTATCCTTTGTACTTATCATTGTACCCCATAAATACACACTTTAAGGAACGAGGATCCAGCTTATTTGAAGTGTATGGTCTCAGAGAAGGGTAGCACGCACAACCAAAGGAACGAAGAGCAGAGTAATCTGGTTTCTTACTAAACAACATTTCATACGCACTCTTGTGATCTGGAAGAGTCGATGAAGGGAGGATGTTTCTTAGGAAGTTGGCAGTGAAGAAAGCTTCGACCCAGTATTGTTGAGGGAGTTTACTTTCAAACATCATAGCTAACCCCAGTTCAGTGATATGACGATGTTTCCTCTCGGCAAGGCCATTTTGTTGTGGCGTATGAGGACAAAATAATTGTTGTTTGATCCCACAGTTTGATAGATGTGTGATAAACCTTGAACTTGTAAATTCACCACCCCCATCACATTGAAAAGACTGAATCTTAACATTGAATTGATTCTCAACAAATGACTGAAACAGAAGAAAAGTTGAGTAGAAGTCTGATTTATTTTTGAGAGGATACAACCAACAGAACTTTGAGAAGTTATCAATAAATACTACATAGTATCTGAATCCCTGAACTGAGACAGTCGGCGCAGGTCCCCATAGATCACAATGTAGTCTCTCAAGAGGTCGTGTTGCAACATAAGACGAAACAGAGAAAGGAAGTCGAGCACTCTTAGCTAACTGACAGGAATCACAGAGCGTGGAGGCAGCTTTATTGATAGATATGACCTTGTTCTTGACCAGATGTTGGAGAATCTCGAGACTTGAATGACCCAACCGTCGATGCCAAACATCAGCGCTTGTACTGAGCTGTCTGTTGGAGTAGAAGGCTTGAACAGAAGGTGGATTCTCCAAAACATACAGGTCCTCATGTCTGCTTCCTTGAGTCAGGAGCCTTTTGGTGACTTTGTCCTTTATTCGAACACCAGTAGCGTCAAATTTAACAGTACATGGATAGTCACTTGTCAACTTAGACACAGACAACAATGATTTGGCAACGTCAGGGCAAACAAGCACATCATTGAGGACAAGCGTACCTGACAGAGTTTGCAGGGGTATGGATCCAATATGCGTGATTGGAAGGAAGTTGCCGTCGGCGATCATAACGTTGTCGGTTCCATGATACTCTTGAGGAGTATGGAGATTGTTAACGGAGTTGGTGATGTGAGCTGAAGCTCTGGTATCTGGATACCATTCTTGTCCAGAGAACTGTTGCTGATAGCCAAGCTGTTGTTGTTCAGAGATTTTTATCGCAGCCATAGCTTGCGGCAGCGTGTTGGACGATGAGCCTTTATATCCAGAGTCATATGGTTCATATCGACTGTAGCACTTGGCAGCTGAATGACCAATTTTACCACAAATCTGACAGGATAGGCGTTGACCAGTACTGGAATAAGACCCTCGATTGTTAGTGGAAGATAACTGTTGAGGGAAGCCTCTTCGTTGAGTAGAATAAGGGCCTCTTCCTTGGCCAAAGTAAGATCCTCTGCCTCTGAAACCTCCTCTGTATTGCCCTCTACCTCGACTAGGAAAGCCACCTCTACTTGAGTAAAAGGCTTGATGTGGAGTTACATCCGGAGTGTCTTCATAGGCCTGAAGCTTTTCATCAAATCCGATAAGTTTGTATATCACATCATCGAAGCAGGGACTGTTTTCAGAATCCATGGAGTCTTCTATTAAGGTGCTGATGGACTCGTATTCTCGACCAAGGCCATTCAGTATCCCATAGATCTTGTCTTGTTCTGCAAGAGGGGCACCAATGGAGTCCAATTGGTCGCAAAGTGAGGTGATTTCCTGCAGATACTGAGCAATAGGACGAGTGCCCTTCTTAGCAGCCTGGATTCTTCGCTGAATATCTAGACGCCTAGTAGCTGAGGCCCTGTTATACATCTTTTCAAAGTGTGACCAGACTTCTTGAGAAGATCTGAGACCGTAGATGCTCTTTAGTGCTTCTTCAGAGAGAGATCCATAGATCCAAGCCATGATAAGTTGATCTGTTTGGACCCATTTGAGGAACTCCGGATTAGCTGCCTGAGTTGCTTGTGGACCAGTTCCAACCGACGTCATAGGAGGAGGACGTGGAATGTCAGCACTTACGTACCCCAGAAGCATTTGGTTCTGCAGAAATTGCTCAAATTGAAGCTTCCATTGCAGATAGTTTTTGTCATTGAGTTTGAGAGTAACCACTTGATTTATGGAGAGAGGGGAAGGAGAAAAGAGATTTTGAGAGAGCTCCATGGCTCTGATACCATGTAGAAAACAACAAACTTTGTGTAGAGAGAAAAACAGAGTTTAATAAACTTTCATTGTCATATATTTTTTTCACTCCTTGAGAATTACAAGGGTTCAATATTTATACAAGAAGTTAGAAAATCCTAGAGACTCAACGCTGAAGCTCAAATCATTCTCCATCACACAATCTTAGGGTTTCAAATCTATTGCTGATTCCCACAGTCACAGCTGGCTTGTACGGAAAAGACTTGTGTCTTGTGCTTGATGTTGACGTTGCAGAAGGAACCGTTACAGAAGCAGAGACCGTGTTGGGCTTCGGGTGTTTGTAAAGGCCCAACACTGATTTTGCAGTTTCACTGGACTCAGGCCCAATAGCCTTAACACCCGTAACTTGAAACCTTTTCTTTTTCCATTCACTTAAACACTCATTGAGCTGAGCTTCGTCTCGAGCACACGTATGTACTATTACCCCAAATCCTGCAAGTTCCTCGACTATAGCATGCCTAAAAAGTTTCAAGAATGAACGGTTCAACAAGATAGTCTAGTCACTAGTGATTTCAAGATTATTGACAGATGAGAAAGATTACGAACCCAATCCCTTTGGTACTACCGGTGACAAGTGCGGTCTTGCCTTGAAGGCTCCATCTGCGTTTTTGCTCTTCTCCAGCCATTTCCCTCAGACTGAAGTGGATGATTTACGAAAATGGTTGTGGTGCTTTGATTAAAATATAACTAAAGATGAGCCGCGGCAACCACAAATATGAAATATCTCAGATTTTGAGGATCAAAGTTGTCTGTGAATTATATGTCTCAATCAAAGTTGTCGGTGAGTCACATGTCTCATTCAAAGCCAAATGCCTAGAAATAACATGAGTAGAGTAGATGAATTCTTCTTGATTTTTTTTTTATTTCACAAAAGAGAGAAAAGTACTAAAGATACTAATATTTTTTATGTTAAATATATTGAAGGAATTAAATGAAATTGAATACAACCAATTGGACCAAAATATTACTAGCTTCAAATAAATACAAAAAGACGTTTTGAAATTTCTCGAAGAGTTATCGTTTATCATTATATTTGTAGGATGAAAAGCAATTTGTTGTAAAGATTCGTTCCCTAGCGTTTCATCAAGCAGCTTTCATTATGCTTGGCATTCCTCGGTAACAAGGTAATATGCTTCCTTTTATCAATCCCATTTTAATAAACCTAGCTTTTTTGATATTTAATCCTTTGTTATTACAATTTCATTGCGTGCAGAATACATAGAGTGAGGGTATTGTTCTCAAGCAGTTTAAACATTTAAAGCTATGTTTATGTCAAGGAACGTGGTCAGATTTATGTTAGAGAAAAAACGAACACATTTCCTAAAAGGTTTTCTCTAGCAGTAACTTAAGTCCATCAAGATCGGAAAGACCGCACCGACTTAGTTCAGATTAAAGGAAATATTTCGGAGATAACCTTCAAAAACCGGAAACATCGGATCAACTCGAAAGATAAGAGAGAATTTTCATATTCTTCGGAGAATAAGGGATATTTCCATATCGGATATGGAAATATTCGTCAAAGGAAAAAAGGAAAGGGAGTTCGGAGCAACCGACCTCCTATCCCTATAAATAAGAAGGTCCCGAAGCTAAGAAGAATAACTCATACATTCTAGAGAGCAGCAGAGCTAAAACTAGAGACTCCAACGCTTTCTAGTTTACTTCGCAAACACTTTTTTCACTTTGGCATAACTTTTCGAGATTAATGAAAACGAGATAACAACGACAAAAAAAACAGCTGACGGGATTCAAAAGCGACATCTCCTACAGTATCGGTTTGATACGTTTAATCACTTACGCCGGCTGCGTAACCAAAAAGGCAGAATTTGCAGTCATCGACTACCCAACCATCTACAACGTCATCCTCGAAACTTCATGGATCCACACCATGAAGGTTGTTATCCCGACGTACCATCAAGGCGTCAAATTTCCAACCCCTACCGGTATGTTCACACTGCAGGGAGACCAATCAACAGCATGAATGTGCCTTCTCAGCAAAGCGAAAGAAAAATCAGAACGGCAACTACCTGCATGGTGAACGAAGACTTAGATCCGCGTCTTCCCTTCCACAAAAGACCGAAGCCCGAGCGAGTTATACAGGTAAGTATTGACGAGCAACACTCGGAAAGAACTGTGAGCATTGGCGGTGACCTCGCGGAAGATATAATGATGGAGCTCGTCGAACTTTTACGCGACCACGTGCACTTGTTCGCTTGGTCCATGGAGGACATGAAGGGCATCGACACCAGAATCACGTTGCATAAACTAAACGTAGATCCTACGTTCAAACCGATCAAACAAAAACGCAGGAAACTTGGTCCCGAGAAGGCACAAGCCGTAATCAACGAAGTGGAAAAACCACTCGGCGCCGGATCGATTACCGAGGTTCAATACCCCGACTGGTTAGCTAACACCGTCGTGGTAAAAAAGAAGAACAACAAATGGAGGGTCTGTGTCGACTTCACCGATCTCAATAAAGCTTGCCCAAAGGACTGCTTCACACTTCCTCACATCGACCGACTGGTCGAATCCACAGCCGGGAACCAGCTCCTATCCTTTATGGATGTCTTCTCCGGGTACAATCAGATCTTCATGCATCCCGGCGACAGAGAAAAGACGGCATTCATCACTGATATTGCTATAAAGTCATCCTTTCGGACTAAAAAACGCAGGCGCCACATACCAACGGTTAGTCAACAAGATATTTGCAAGTCAGCTCGGCTGTACTATGGAGGTTTACATTGACGATATGCTAGTCAAATCCGCAATCGCCAAAGATCACATCGGCCACCTCATGGACTACTTCAAAACCCTCGAAAAATATGGAATGAAATTGAATCCGGCTAAATGTACATTCGGCGTAATTTCAGGAGAATTCTTAGGCTACGTTGTCACCCAAAGGGGAATAGAAGCAAACCCAAAACAAATTTCGGCAATTCTGGATCTCCCGTCACCCAAAAATACACGCGAGTACAATGACTAACCGGAAGAATTGCCACTCTAAACAGATTTATCTCGCGTTCGACCGATAAATGTCTCCCCTTTTATCAGTTACTTCGAAGTAATAAACGTTTTGACTGGGATGACAAATGCAAAGAGGCATTCACGCAGCTAAAGGAATACCTAACCACCCCGCCAATATTAGCTAAACCAGAGGATGGCGAGACTCTGTACCTTTACATCGCAGTCTCAACAGCAGCAGTGAGCGGCGTCCTTGTCAGAGAAGATCGTGGCGAGCAGAAGCCAATCTTCTACATAAGCAAGACTCTGGATGGAGCCAAAACGCATTATCCAGCCCTGGAAAAACTTGCCTATGCAGTGATCATCTCGGCACGGAAACTGCGACCCTGCTTCCAATCTCACAGTATTGTCATCTTCACCAGTCAATCACTTCGAAGCATCCTGCACAGCCCGAGTCAATCCGGCCGAATGGCCAAATGGGCGATAGAACTGTCTGAATATGATATCAAATACCGCACTCAAACTAGCACCAAATCCCCAGTCTTAGCGGATTTCATGATTGAAATACCACCGGATCTACTAAGCGATAAGTCACCTACTGAGAGCCGCTGGAATATATATGTTGACGGTGCATCCTCAAAGCAAGGGTCAGGAGTCGGCATTTGTTTGAAATCACCAACAGGAGAAGTCCTCGAACAATCGTTCAAGCTCGGCTTCCCTGTTTCAAACAACGAGGCCGAATACGAAGCCTTACTCGCAGGGATTCAGCTCGCAAAAGAAGTAGGAGCAAAACATATTCATGCCTTTTGCGATTCTCAGCTTGTCGCCAGCCAATTCAAAGGAGACTATAACGCAAAGAACGAGCGAATGGATGCTTACCTGAAACAGGTTCAAGAAATAACAAAGCAATTCGACTCCTTCGAACTAACTAAAATCCCGTGAACTGAAAACACTACTGCCAATGCACTGGCAGCATTCGTATCTGCGATGGATCCTGCGCTCCTCCGAGCAATTCCAGTAGAAATCATCGAGCAACCCAGCATTCAGCTATCCAAGGGGTCTTGCAACGCAGTGTTACACCAAGATGTCGAAGTGGATGATCCAATGGAAGAGGATACCGAACAACAAAAGCAACCTTGGCAAGACGAAATTAAGTCTTACCTGCTATAAGGGACGGTCCCGGAGGATAGATGGGCAGCTAGACGCCTCCGAAGAAAAGCAGCACAATATTTCGTTGAAGACGGAAACCTTTTCCGATGGACAGCAAATAAAGTAATACTACGATGCTGTGATGAGGCACAAGCAAAGAGAGTTATGGTCGAAACCCATGAAGGAGCAGGCGGAAACCATTCAAGAGGAAGGGCGTTAACATTGAAAATAAAGAAGCACAGCCTATTTTGGCCTAGAATGGTCCAAGATTGCGAGCAGATTGTACTACGGTGTGAACAATGTCAGAAACAAGCGCCCATCATCAACTCACCCACCAAACTCCTTCAGACTGCGGTCCCACCGTACCCCTTTTTGAGATAGTCGATGGATGCAATTGGCTCAATGCCCAAGTCAGGTCGCAATCAACACATTCTTGTCATGACCGATTACTTCACGAAGTGGGTCGAAGCTAAAGCTAACCCAACTATAAAGGCAATTGAAGTCCAACTTTTCGTATGGGAGTACATCATATGTCGGCACGGCCTCCCATACAAGATCGTCACAGATAACGACTCGCCATTTATTGCTTTACTTTTCGAAATTTTTGCGAGGTATGGGGGATACACATAAGTTATTCAACGACTTGCTACCCACAGGGTAACAGACAAGCGGATGCTTCTAACAAAACCATCCTCGACGGTCTTAAGAAACGTTTGACCGACCTAAAGGCAAGTTGGTCAGACGAGCTGGATGAAGTCATTTGGTCGCGCCGAACTACTCCCCGAACGGTAACAGGAGAAACCCCTTTTTCGCTATCTCACGGCTGTGAGGCTTTAGCACCGGCCGAACTGCATGTACCTTGTGCTCGGCAAACTTTAATGATTCAGGACCCTCAGCTGAATGGAGAAAAACTAATCGACGCTGTCGACAACGCAGAAGAACTTCACGACAAAGCTTTGTTACGAATTCAGAATTACCAGCAGCAAGTCTCTAGGTATTACAACAAGAAAGTCCGAAGCCGACTATTCTCGCTAAACAACCTTGTCTTACAAAGAGCTATAAATCCGATGAAACTCGAGGCAAACTGAGAAGGACCATATCGCATTTCAAAAGTCGTCAAACCCGGCGTCTACAGATTGGAAGATATGAAAGGAGAACCGGTTGAGCGGGCTTGCAAATATATGAATCTAAGGAAATACTACTCTTAGAAAATACAGTTCGGCATTTAAGACTACATTTGTTACTAAGAACTATGGATGACTTGATCCCGCTTTGGGTATGTAGGCAGCCTCCGGATCCAGTCACTATCTTAATAAAAACATATTTGCAACCAGCTCGGCGTTCGAAGTAAAAACCACTGGTCAAAAGTGATCATATAATCAGCTCGACATATAGAGTCACATTTTCTCATGCAAATGCATCTTGCTAAATCGATGTTCTGGCAAAACATTCGATTATAAAAAGCAAGAATAAAAATAAATTAGTGGCTGATCACCACCCTTTGATACTTCGGCTCGAT